TTCAATTAACACTGAGGAGCTAAAATTTTGAGCACTAATTTTTAAAAAAACTACTTATGTCATTTTTTACAAAATTTCGCATTTTGGCACAATTTGAGTCGTGGAATCAAAATATGGAAAAAAATTGTCATGTCATTTCAAAAAAGTCTGATTTTGTGTCAAAATACATACCTATATTAAAACACTGCTACATGTAAATCTAATACATATCCTAAGTTGCACTTTCGAGACATGAAAAACTCAAGTTGAATTTTGTCAATTGGGCCAGTAGAATGGGAGATATAGAACTGTCCTTTTTTGCGTGTGTGTGCAGTGTGCCTAGCGCAAAATAACAATTTTATTAAAAATACATGTTTCAAGAATTCAACGAAACATTGCAAAAAGGAAATCATGAAACCAACACCTATAACTCATGCAAGAAATGTGCTGTTAACGTACTCTGCTGCACGTCTGAAAGCATAGAACAGGTCAGAGTGTACTGGTGGTGATGCCGTGCATGTAATGCGTAGTACATGCGTTAAGTTACCCAACTTCTTTATGTAAAAATTTTCAGGCACTTTCAGAGGCAAAAGAAGCAAACTTTTAAAGTCAGGTGAAAGTGATAGCTAAACTGTAGGAAAATGACAGCTGATGATGATGTCATTTCTGAAATGTATGCTCAGCAACTGTCTTGCTGTTGTTGCAGTGATGAAATGATGTGGTTGTAAAAAAGAGGTTTATATAGATAGTTGGCCAGTAGTAGAAGATGTAACAGGACCTTTCTCTTCAAAAAAGTATGCACCAATGATAAATGCTGCCATAAAGCCCCACCACACAATGATCTTTGTTGAACGAATAGACAATGGTTACACTAATAACAGATTCTCATTCATTCCTATTCTGCAATTTTGCATAACTGATGGCAACTTGCAGATATAAATGGGCTTCATCTATCTGTAAAATATTCCATGGATATAGAATCACCTCAGTTATTCTTTCAATAACATGACTCATTAATCCATATCTAAAAGCATTCCCCTCATTTATTAGGGAAAGTAAAATTATAATTTAATATTTCAATATACTAATTTTCTGCATCTTGTACCTCCATCTTGCAATTCACAGTTATTTAAAACTGATTGCATTAATATACCAGGTAGTTACAAAATAAGTACGAGGGTAAGTTGAAAAATAAGTTTCTCCAGTCGACTGTGATCAGAGTTGTGTATGAAAGTCAAAAAATAGAATGAGACATTAAAGATATGACATACCTTTATTTTTCCACATAGGTACCAAGTACATTGAGACATTTGTCATATCGCTTGATAAGCTTCAAAAAGCCCTCCAGGAAAAAATCAGGGCTTTGCATATGGAAGAAGTGTTGAACGGCTTGTTTCACTTCAGTATTGCTTCCAAAGCGCCTTCCCCTGAGATTTTTCTTCAAAGCGGGAAACAGATGGAAGTTGCTTGGTGCGAGATCAGGACTGTATGGCGGATGGTGTAGGCGCTCCCGACCAAGAGTTGCAATGTGGTTTTGCGTTGCCGTCGCCGAATGTGGTCTGGCATTGTCATCCAACAGCAGAACACCAGATGCGAGTAGAGGTCAATTGTCGGGGCACCCATCGTGCTGACACTTTTCTGTATCGAAGAACGTCGTGCATGATGTTTTGAGCTCACTCATGTGAGATTCCAAGTTCTTCCACTACTTCATCGATGGTGATACGCCGATTCGCTCTAATCATGTCATCCACCTTCCTGACATTTGCATCTGTAATGGTCGTGCGCGTCCGTCCAGCTCTCGGTATGTCCTCCACTTGCTGACGTCCATCACTGAATGTGCGACACCATCTCCGCACCATTTGCTTCGACATCACACCTGGCCCATAGACTTCCACGAGGCAGTTATGAATTTCTGTTCCTGATATTCCACGTGCCCATTCATAGCGGATAAATCTCGGGGAAAGGCGCTTTGGAAGCAATACTGAAGTGAAACAAGCCGTTCAACGCTTCTTCCATATGCAAAGCCCTGATTTTCCTGGAGGGCTTTTTGAAGCTTATCAAGCGATATGACAAATGTCTCAATGTACTTGGTACCTATGTGGAAAAAATAAAGGTATGTCATATCTTTAATGTCTCATTCTATTTTTTGACTTTCATACACAACTCTGACCACAGTCGACAGGGGAAACTTATTTTTCAACTTACCTACGTATCTCTATTTGGAGCTGTCTGAAGCTTGAAGAAATAATCCGAATGAAACCAAAATCAGTACACTTATTAATTGAGAAAGGGGAAAAAGAATGAAATATTAAAACAAATAATTGCAAAAATTGCTGACAGATGGCACTTTTGAATGTATAACCTGTAATACAAGAACAAAGAATGAAAATGTAAAATCAGACGGCATACAGAATTTACTGAAAAATGTTACAGATAACGTGATTATGCTTACACATGTTCAGGTTCCACATGGCTATTTATTGAGCTGGAGTACACAATTCAGGCAGCTCACGACTTTCTCAACTGCGAAATGTAATGACTCAGAAGCGATGTTTTACACGTGTTGTGTTATGCGATCTTTTAAGGTCATAGAGGTTTGCAATACCTCCATGGTGCATATCAGATTTTAAGTATGCCCAAAGCCAAAAATCACATTACATCAGATCAAGGGATAGAGGAAGCCATGCCATATGAAAATACTGACTTATTACTCTGTTTATGAAATGTTGGAATAAGAACTTCTGTACTGATCGCCCAATATGGGGTAGGGGCTCCATCTTGCATAAAAACCATTTCAGTAAGACACTGTCGTTGCTGCAGTTGAGGAACTACGAATGTTAGCAACATGTGCGGTACCCAAACAACATGCGCAACACTGTGCATTAACTGAATATGTTACAGATCCTGATGGCTGTAACTTCTAAAAAAAATAAAAGGACCAAGAATAAAACCTGCTGTAAGGCCACAGCACATCTTGAGGTTTGGAGAAAGGAGGGGTCTTTCTTGAATAACATTTGGTGGCTCCAAAGTCCATTTCCTACAGTTCTACATACTGACTGTCCCTATTCAAATAAAACGGCTCCATTTCCCCATAAAATATTTCATGCGAAGGCATCATCCACATCCATTTGTGCTACAAATACTACAGCAAAATCCAATCTGTGCCGTGTGCCACCTTCTAACAATACTGATGACAACTAATTTTATAGCAATAAAAACTGGATTACCTTTCTCAGGATTTTTTTGAACAGCAACATATGGACTATCCATCACTCGAGCAACTCCACGTGTACTAGGACCAGCTTCTGGAGTCCCTGATGATTCCACAATTGCACAGCCAATTTCTTATAAGGGAAAAGGTATTTGTTTCCTCCTCCACTTCCTTTTTTTTTTTTTTTTTTAAACCTTTCTTCTCACTGAACACAGCAGCTAAGGACCTTTTTCTTTACACATTCTTTTCACATGCTTACAGTCACGTAAAGTAGCTGCAGCATTTCAGCTGTTGACATAGAATAGTTTTAAAACCATAGCATGACTGACAAACTAAGCTGCATCTCATAACACATTACTGGTAAAAATAGCGTTTTTTAATTTTACTGATGTATCATCAGCATTTGCACTAGTAATGCCATCTGTCAACGATTTGTTGCAACTAATTTTTTTATTAATGCATTTTTCTTCCCCCTTCTCGATAAGTAAGTGTTCGGATTTTGGTTTTATACGGATTATTCCTTCAAGGTAGACAGCATCAAATAGTGATACTTATTTTATAACCATCTAGTGTGAGTGTATATACATAAATTAAATATTATTAAATTATACATTATTACACATAACAAAATAGACTTGCATTTTTCTTACACTGCTGAAAATTTCATGTCCAGATTTTATTATCTAAGAAACACATTTCTAGATTTTACAATCTAAAAAAATATGATTTTAAAATCGGGTAAAGTGCAGAATCGGCCACTTACATGCGCACATCCATGTGTACATGCACAAAAGTCAAGGGAGTGCGCAATGCCAAGTTTGTGCAACTCTCTGATTTCTTTTTAAGTGAAAATAGGTCAGTGTGTACATGCATACTGAGTTTGCGCAATTCTTTAACTTGTTAGTTTCAAGTTGATGCAGAATTGCCCACTTATATGGCATGCATCAATGTGTACATGGACAAAGTCAAGGGACTGTGCAATGGCAAGTTTGTGCAATTCTCTGATATTTTAAGTGAAAACAGGTCGATGTGTACATGGATACAAAGTTTATGCAATTCTTTGACTTAGAAGGTAGCGAATTAAAGAAATACACGAAGCAGTAGATGATTCTGCACTTTTCCCTTAAAAATCTAAGAAATCTACAAAATTTTAAGCAATTAATAGTTTTTAACTTCAATTTATGAAACCTTGATCTCAGTTTTATTGCACATATTGACAGATTTATTCCAAAAATGATTTTAATATTAAAATTTAAACACAAATACATCAAATTATGAAGTACTAAGATATATTTGTTTCCAGGATGGAAAACTATCTTACAGCAGTAAGTAGACTGGAGACAAACTTAATATTCAAATCAAAGTGCCCATGCCATTCAGAATTATTTAAAAAAAAAAAAAAAAAAAAAAAATTCAGCAACATATATTTAAAATTACACGGTTATGTATTAAATTTTTATTCTGCAGACCCAGTTACCTGTTTTATATACAGACTTAGATGAAACATGGTATAAAAATAAGAAAAAAGAAATTTCAGCTATAGTATAAGTAATTTCAAAGTAAGTATGATACGGTTATTCGGCTTACATTTACATTTTAAAACATTATTAGTGTTGACAGACTAATTCTATCGACATGATTGAAGGCAAACTTTTATTCAACTGATGAATAAATATTCCTTAAATTCAGTATTAAGCTTAGAAAAAAATAAATTTTAGAAAAACTAGAAATAAAAACTGTGTTACACTATTATTTTATTTATAAGAAAGTATTCATATTCAAATTTTATAGAAATAATTGCATTACTCACGTTCACCAGATGGATGCAAACTAGAAAACATCTTGACATCACCACCACTATCTCGCACACTATCAACCAATTCCACATACATCTTCCGTTTAGCAACATCATTGCACCTGAGATTAAAAAAAAAACTAATAAATTAATAAAAAATAAAGCAGACATTAGTGAAAACATTGAACATACACAGGCTAGTGAAATTAATGTGATTGCACTTGTCAAATTGATACAAAGATATACAGAAAATTTATATTCGGCAATATTAAACACAGTACTACTTTAGTTTGAGACAAAACTTTGACAATCCAGTAACTGGGTTAGGACACTCCAGAAACAGTCAGTAAAGCTATGTATGCTGACAATCGACTATAATCAATATCTCTTCTAAAGAAGAAAAGAAGGGCCTTAGGGTAAAAATAGTAAACTACTAGCCAGAGCTTCGAAATATTATAACATGAAGCTTTAGCATATGTGTTTACTCATATTTAAAAACACATGTTAATAAACAAACATCACATTTAAGTACATTAATAATATATGCTAATGAGCTTTAACTTCAAAATTAAATATGGATTAAATTAATTTAAAATTACAGGTTGGAAGACTTCTCTTACATCTAGCCACAATTCTTAGTTCTTTTTTTTTTTTTTTTTTTTTTTTGTTGTTGTTTAGCAATTTTTTTATTTTTCTTTCTTCCTTCCTTCTTTTTCATTGAAAACAAATCATAAAAAGCCCTTAATTCTGTTTTTTCTATTTTTTGAAATTTGGTGGCAAGGATTAAATTGTTTAGTTTCTCACTGATAATGAATGAGCACTGTATAATACTGACTGTAGATACCAGAGTCAGAGTAAAATTAAAAACAATATGCAACAATTTCTTCTGCTGGTGAACATCTTAAAAAATTACCTTGTAATTTTATGCATATAAAAAAAAAGTTTTCATTGCTACTCTAATAACAACTGTTACTGACATGTAATTCATCAATGAAAAACTTTCAATAATTTTTCAAGCAAAGATGTCTATGCAATTTTAAATCTAGGGATTTTAGAACCATTCTGCCTATATGTATGTGTAGAATAAAAATAAAAAATATTCAAATCAAAATTCTAATCTAAATTTGCAAAAGTCCTTTTAAATCTCTTTTAATTTAGGTAGATTCCCCGTCTGTCCTAAAAATAGTAACTGCTTATAATAAAACACTCCAAACTTCACTACTACAATATTAATCCATGTCATATGATTCTTATATAATGCTAATGATACAGGAACTATAATGTTTTCAATCTGGGAACCAAAATTTTTTATTGATAGCCAATACTGAAATTTTAACAACAAATTCAAAAATTAAGAAATGAAACAAATCATTCTGTGCCTCATCAATCATAACATGACTTTCATCTTGGACATGTCACATTAATTCTTTTCATTCACTGCTGCTACTTCAAATGTATTTAAAAAATTCTATACAATACTGATTAGTTTTTCAAGAACAGACACTTAATAGACTACTATGTGTTAGCAATAAAATGCTTGTCAACAAGAATGAAGAAATATCAAAATTCAGCAATGACTGCAACTATGCCTTTACACATATAGATCCCACACTACTATCGTTACAAAATATTACACAAACACCAATGGGAAAGTAATATTTTTCACTTATACATACTTTAGTTGATATCTAACTTACCTCATAAAACATATTTCTCTCTTTCAATGCATCTGTCATGATGAAAAGAATAAAATATTGTGTAAACTGGCAACTAAAGTTGTGCAGCCATGATATTCATAAAATAGGAATAGCAATGATGTTGGAAACATAGAAATGAAAAACGCCTATAATTAGATGCTGATACTTTGAGTAAAAAGAAAAGGCCTTTTTTTACATTATCATCAGACAGAATAAGACAATTTAAAACAGCATCATTGCATATTACAGCTAAAGTCAAAAGTTCATCAAGAATGTCAGCAGTTTGAAATATATGGTGATTCTAATGTGTAGCTGTGATGGTGTTATCCTAACACATACCTCATCTCCAAAGCAGATCATGAACTCACTTTTTAAACACATCTTATGATTAGCTTTGGAAAAGAAGTAACAACTCTCTAGAATTTCTCATCACTTTCCAGAAGAACTCTTGGGTACATATAGCAGAATATGTGGCTGATTTGTTTGCTTGGTTGGATTCAGAAGTGCTTTACCATTCCATTATACTTCCTAGAACTAAGCCATTATGACTATGATTTGACTCATTAGACAAAGCAACTTCTAAATGGCCTTCATTTCCAGTGATAGACTGCTCCATTTCAATTGGTTTAATTCCAGTACAGTCAAAAGTCTTTAATCCGGACGTCCATAATCCGAAATGATCTATAATCCGGACCTCAAAGCTACAAACTTTCTACACATGCGTCAACGCATAATGCATTAACGCATGCGCATAGTACGTTTACGCATGCACGTTTAATGTATAACGGACGGTATAAGCTAAGCTAAAATGATCTATTTCAGTTAATGTTGCAGATTGCGTTGTTTCTTAATCTTCTAATTGGATCCGGCTTATTAGTTTTTGCAGACTGTTAGAGCAATTTTATGAAAGTAAGCTTCAACTTTCGATTATGTCAAAAAGAATTTCCGATTTTGGAACTACCAAAGGATCTGCAAAGCGAAAGCATGTTACGATGTCCATCAAACAAAAAGTGGAATTGCTGCAAAAAATGGATAAAGGCATATCCTTTCATTCTCTAGTCATTCCGAAATATGTTTATCAATTTCAGGCTGCTCTGGCGGGGGGGGACGACACGGCACGCAATGAACTGGAAGTTGATCTGTCAGCACTATCCTTATCTTCAGGGTAGATGTTTTTATTTTATTCCGCTTATAATTCCTTACTAAATGTAGTATTTCATGTCGATGTACTCCGTCTTTGATATGATTTAAATCAAATTCCTCGTCATTATAAATATCACGAATACACATCAAATAGTTTTCTGGTTGCAATTTTCTAATTTCGACTATGCGTAATGTATGCTTTATGCATGCGCAAATTGAAAGAAATGTTTAATAAATTAAACAAATAAATAATTTTTTTTTTTTGGGGTAAATTTTGATACTCTTTAGATCATAATTGCTCTTTATTTCATAAATTACGGTTTCATTTTTTTAATTTCATAATTTTTGGATGCCATCTTACCAGATTTAAATTGATGATCTATAATCCGGAAAAACCAATAATCCGGAATCGCCAAACTCCCGACGAGACCGGATTAAAGACTTTTGACTGTATACAGTATACACAGGATTTGGTGTGATGATGATCAGCGAATGTGGTGTTTATGATGAGCAGTAAATTAGTTATTTTGGTGTTGGTGCCAATTTTTAAAATCACCCCAAGGTTTTACCTTTGAATCATCAACAGAAATACAGTTAAAGTTTAAACTCTGTTGCTGAGAAGAATCTTTTTTTTTTTTTTTTTTTTTTTTTTTTTTTTTGATTCAGTTACAAACAAATACTTGCCATTATCAAAGTTCCAACCAATGTATATACAGTACAAAGTCTGTAATCTGGATATCTATTATCCAGAATGATCTATAATCTGGACCTCAAAGCCACAAACTTTATGCGTAAAAATGCATATATATTACGCATGCGCATAAAGAATGTGCATGCATTGAAAGAAATGTTTAATAAAATAAAAAAATAAATTTTAAGCTTTTTTTTGTAAAATTTGATACCCTTTTAGATCATAATTGCTCTTTATTTCATAAATTACGGTTTTATATTTTTAACTGTATAATTTCTGCATGCCATCTTAAAAAGATTTAAATTGATGATTTATAATCCGGAATCGCCGAAGTCCCGACGAGTCCGGATTACAGACTTTGTACTGTATAGACTTTTTAATTAGGTTACAAAAATATTAATGACCTTTCATAAAATCATTGCTGAAAAATCATTATTACTATATATCTCAATTTTTGGCAAACATGAAACTTCATTCATTTCTAAAAGAATTTCTACTATTCTCCCAACTGGCGATCCACCTATTTTCGTTAATTAGTTAATCAGTTTTATACTAGATGGCACCACCTCTTTTTCAGACTATTTTGTCTATAAAAGCAATGCTATGCTTATTATTTCTTTCACATGCAATTTTTCCTTTGAATTTTGTGAGTTTTTAAAACGCCGTCTTCGAATCTTTGTTATCAATTTGCTTTCAAATAGAAATGAATTTTTTCATGTTTACATTACAAACAGAAGAAATAAATGTTATCTTAAATGGAAACATTGTTTAATTTATCTCTCTTAAATTCATTATGTCTCTTTTTTTTAATTATCTGCAAACAACAAATTGTAAGTAAGTAGGTTCTGAAACAACAATATACCGGGTGGCCATAATTAAACTGACAGTGCTCACAGTGTTCTCTAGCGCGATCTATTTGCGAGAATGACGCCACATTTTGTAGGAAGATTAAACAAGACGGGGGACGAAGGATTCCGCGAAAAAAAAATTAGTTCCAAAAGTCACCGCTAGGGGAATATTTGGCGCTGTGTAATAGAAAATAGAGTGTTAACAAATGCAAATTAATACGGAATAAAATTACCTTTTATTATGGATATGCTTTATAGAATATGGATATGCCTTACATTACGGTATGGAAAATCTTATGAAAGATTACCAACTTCTATCCGTACAAGATCAGCCATGTACAGGAGTTACTGTACCCCGACCATGATAAGCCATTGACTTTTGCTCTCACCTTTCTTGCCAGAATGGAGGCGGATGATGCTTGGCCGTGATGGATGATCTCATGGGGAGACGAGGCACACTTTTATTTGAATGGAACTGTGAATACCCAGAACTGCCAAATTTGGGATGACAAATCACCACATGCAGTCACAGCAATTCCCTTACATTCAACAAAGGTAATTGTTTGGTGTGGGTTCACAGCGGAATTTATCGTAGGTCCATTCTTCTATGAGAACATTACCCCGACAGGACCGGAAACCTGTTCTGTTACCGGAGAGAAATATCGCCACATGTTGAACAGCTTTGTCAATCCGGCACTTCAGCAAAAACAATGCCTGGGGGAAATCATTTTCATGCAACATGGAGCCCCTCCACACGTTGCTGTATAGGTGCAACAGATGCTACGACAGAAATTCACAACAGAAAGAGTCATTAGCCACTACTTTCCAACTGCATGGCCACCTCGGTTGCCCGATCTTACCCCATGCAACTTCTGGCTATGAGGTTACCTTAAGTCCAAGGTCTATCAAGGAGTAGTCCAAAACCTGGCTATGTTGAAGGATAACATATCACGGACTGTACGGGAGATTCCTGAAGACATGTTACTTTCTACTGTTGTGAGTACTGTGCACAGAATGCAATATGTGGTCCACAACAACGGCAGCCACACTGAACCTTATTTGAATGCAAAATAAAAGGTAATTTCCGTATTGATTTGCATTTGTTAACACTCTATTTTCTATAACACAGTGCCAAATATTCCCCTAGCGGTGACTTTTGAAACTAATTTTTTTTTTTTTTTGCGGAATCCTTCGTCCTCCGTCTTGTTTAATCTTCCTACAAAATGGGGCGTCATTCTCGCAAATAGATAGCACTACAGAACACCGTGAGCACTGTCAGTTTAATTATGGCCACCCATTATATACAGTACAAAATCGGGTGTATTTCGCCTTATCTCTTATCTGTTTCATTTCACTATATGTGGAAAATGCTTAATATAATATATATCCACAACATTTAGGGGATCACTTGTAGTTATATTAATTCACTGAAACATTTAAACCAGCTAATCTAATTTTAAAAAAGATATTTCACCCTTTTATTCATACATTGAAAGTTTTCTTATATGCAGCATACAACACAACAAAAGAAATAAATATTTTGCAAAACTTTAAAAAAAATTATATTAAATAATAATAAATCTGATCATACAAATTTGAATAAAATGGCAGAAGAAAAAAATGTGTAAAAACAATTTTAATGGCGCCAACTATCGATCCATGAAATAACTAAATCACCTATTGAGAGAATATGAGAATTTCAATACCAAAGAAACATGATTTTCACTTTCATAATTAGGTAATTAAAACAAATTTACCGAAATAACTTATCACTGATGAGCAATGTGTCGACTGCCTGAGCTTCATTAGCTTTCTGAACATGTTTCAAACCATAAAATGCTTTGCTTGATTCATTCATCAACATTGTGTAGAACTGTTCAAGGCACTTTACTTCACTAGAAGCTTTTGTGTCAGCTAGCTTATTGGCAATTGAAGGATCGGATAAAACTTCTGGAATGAAAATAAATCAATTTCAGTTATTATTTACCCTTTACTGCTCATTAGTTTAAGAAAAATACTTAGTAAAAAGTTAATAAAATAAAACTGGATGAATTAACTACTTAACACTATTTCTCTTTAAAAAAATAGGTCAACATTTTTTTTTTTTTTTTTAACTGACAGTAGTTAAAATTTGCACATTTATCGATTTGAAAATGACTGTGTAAATTTTTTTGAAAAATTTCTGAATTTCTGTATAAATTTTTCTAAAATGAATTTCATTTTGACAGAATGAGAAGATTAACTGCTCTTTAACCCTTTGAAGGGCACCGGTATTTGTTTGTCAATTTTTTAACTTCAGAAAAAATTATAATTTCTCTACACCAAAAGCTATAATCGTAAGTTTCTAGTGTTTCCTTTCAGTTCTAAATGGCAGCACCACCCTATGAATGCTCAATATTTTGCAGTTATGAAATTAACATACCTCGTTCCAAGGTATCATGTTTGAAGATTGATAAATTCTATTGGAGGGAAAGAAAAAATTCAAAATCTGCAAATGTATGACGTACACATGCTGAACCTTTTATATTTACTGCATTTCAATCAAAACTGATAATTAAAAGAAGATTATGTATACGTTTTTAATACCGGTATATAATATATACCGGCGCCTCTACTGAGGGTACCTTGCCAACAGATGGCAGCACCAGGCTTCTCCTTCTCTACTGTGAGAGATGACAGCATTTTTTTACATTATAATAGTTTATGATGTAACAATTTGTTTATGATTAATTTACAAGTTGTTTAGGATTATTATGTTCATGAAGGGATGGAGAGTTTACTGACCCTGCACTAGGACTGAAAACAAGTATATTTGTTCTTTTTATTCTCTTTTTTACTCTGCGCGAGTTTCATTCGTCTCTATTTAGCTAAGATTTTAATTTCAGCACTTCACCCTTTCCCAAGAGAAAGACTCATCAATTTCGAAATTGCCATCTGGGGTCAAAATTTTACGCAATTGAAGGAGTTAAATGTGGCATCTTAGTCCCCAAAAGACACTCTTTGCTTCCTGTTTTCCAAAATCCTAGAATCCAACGAAAATGAAAGGAGGTGATTGACAACTGTTTTGTCATTTGGGAGTCAAGCCTTCTTCCCTTTGTGTGTGTGATAAGATCACACAAAGAGAACGTTCAATTTTGTGTCTTTAGGGTTCATAAGTTACAGTTCATGCAAAATTTTACCACAATTTAAATTGTTTTACATACCACCCCTCAAAGGGTTAAATGGTTTTTTTTATTGGTAGTGAAGAAGTTAGTTTTCTTGCCTAATCCTGATTTTCCTCTCTGAATGGAAGTAACTGTAAAGGAGTGATAATTTGAATTGGTATTATATTTTTCAATATATAAGCATAGAAAACCACTTTTATTTCAGAAAATCTGATTTTTGTGATCTCTATTTTCTGATATATATGAATACATGTTGAAATTTTTGAGTACAATAATAACATATATAAATTGATGAAACACACAGGATGAATATCTTAAAGTTCTTCAATTAAAGCAAGTAGAGCACAACAAGAAATTGAGAATTTCACTGTAAGTGTATTATGACCATCAAAAGTAAGATGCAAGCACTAATACAGTTTTCCATAGCTAAATTATAATCAATTAAAAAGTACCTAAAATTTTCTATAATTAAAAAAAAAAAAAAAAAAAAAACTTTAACACTATCAACATTTATAATAATTTTAACTACTGAGAAGAATATATAAATTTCTTTTGATAAGTGTAATGTACTTTATGTAAATAAAATAGGATGAGATCCTAAAGTACAATGGCACAAAAATAATAGTTCGCGAATCTTCTCTCTTCATATCACCTTTGCTCTAATCCCTGGAAAAACACCTAAGAAAATCAGTTTAGAAACCTAGTAAAAGTGTGTGCAAATTACAACTGATAACTCTGGTTCACATTCTTCAGATAATCATATTAAAAGTAAAAGATATTTCTTTATTGAACCAACCATTGCGCTCAGATAGTAAAATTGGCAAATTTAATTGCTCAGCCTGTAATTTGCAAATTTTAAATGTAGCCACAACTTTCTGGGGGTGACCTCTTGAATTTACAATAAATAAAATGATGTCTGTTTATTGCATATGATATGCTGCATGTTCATGTATTCCATTCTTAAATAAATGAAAATGACTAAGATGGAGATACATAAGCAAGAAGCTTTGTCGTATATACGAGGCGCATTCGGAAACTAAGTACCGTTTTGAAAAAAAAAAAAAAAAAAATAGAAAAACAATTTTTTCGAATCCAATTTTATTTTTACATGAAAATACATGTCTTAAGCTATTTTTCAACATAGTTTCCGCCAATGATCAAACACTTGTCATAGCGGGTGACCAGTTTTTGTGTACCATCGTCAAAGAAACTTCCCGCCAGTTTCGATACCCACGACTCCACAGCATTTTCGTGTCATCGTCAGATCCAAAGCGCTTGCCACCAAGCTCGCGCTTCATGTGCAGGAATAAATGATAGTCGGACGGCACCAAGTCCGGGCTGTACGGCGGGTGATCGAACTGCTCCCAATGAAACTGTCGAATTAACGATTGAGTGACACCAGCAGTATGGGGCCGAGCATTGTCATGGAGCAACACAATTCCTTTACTGAGCATTCCTCTTCGTTTGTTTTGAATGGCACGCCTTAGTTTTGTTAAAGTCTCACAACATTGTGCCGTATTAATGGTTTCACCTCTGAGAAGAAATTCAGGAAGCAAAAACGCCTTTCCTATCCCAGAAGACAGTGCACATGATTTTTTGTGATGACATTGTCACTTTGAACTTTTGTTTTTTCGGAGAATGAGTGTGTCTCGACTCCATCGATTGTTGTTTCGATTCTGGTGTGAAATGACACACCCAAGTTTCATCACCTGCCACAATTTGGTTTAAAAAGTCTTCTCCCTCATCACTGTACCGCGTGAGAAATGTCAGGGCTCTACCAAGTCGCTTTGTTTTGTGAACGTCAGTGAGCATTTTTGGAACCCATCGGGAACATAGTTTACGATAATTCAAGCGGTCAGACACAATTTCGAACAAAACAGTACGTGAAATTTGTGGAAATGCCTCTGAAAGAGTTGTCATTGTGAAGTGTCTGTTCTCATGAAATGCTTCATCGGTGACAAATCATCGGTGACAACAGAAGGCCGACCAGTCCTAGCCTCGGCATGGACATTTGTTCGACCTGCATTAAACATTCTTACCCACTTTCTCACCATTCCATCATTTATCGCGTATTCACCGTAAACTTCTGTCCCTTGATGATAAATTTCGGCCGGTTTAACATTCCTCGCATTCAAAAATTTAATCACGGCACGAATCTCACAGTCAGTGGGAGAACTAATTGTCTTAAACATTTTGAATGTGCACAGAAAACTGAAAACACAACATAGAGCAACCAAATGGTGACAATTGAAAGTCAGTGAACAAGAAAGACTAGTGCGCATGCGCGGGACGCCTACCACAGCGCTGGGACGGCGCTAGAATGAAACGGTACTTAGTTTCCGAATACGCTACGTACAAATTTCCTTCTGTGATGGAAACATTTGGTTTAAGTTTTAAAACTGAATTTCCATTCATTTTTATTTTAAACAAGCAAAATAATAAGAGCTAACGAGTATTTGTCATTTTAAGCAAAAAATCAATTAGAAAACCTAAGCAATTACTTTGAATCCTAAGGTTGTTAAATACACAAACTTAATAAGAAAAGACTTTTAATCACCTTTATGATTACCTATTATTAGATAAAACATATGTAAGGAAGATGGGTGCCATTTTCTTTTTCCTTTACACTAATAACCATGGTCTTTTCATACAGATAGGTCACTGATGCTATGATGCTCACTGAGGAACTTTGTTTCACTTTGTTTGTTTGTTTGTTTGAAACACTTTCTTTCTTACCAACTACGTTTAGTTGGTAGGTTGGTTGATTTTTTAAATGGCACAAAACCTTGAGGGTTATTTTGCGCCAGACAAATGGTGAGTAAAATTCAAGATGCATAAACAAGTATCAAGACCAACTACGTTTAATGTTCCTTTTTAGCATTAGAAGTCACCAAGTGGAAATCCAATAGGTTTTTTTCAAGTTAACTTTTCAATGGACACCATACCCTTTTACTTGTACATCTGAAATTCAACTACACAATGTAAAACCTTATTTTCAGCATATAACACAGTTGACTGCTACTGACCTTATTTCAATAAATAACAACAAAGCTTTTACATTCATTTGGCTCCTGATCTTATTTCAATCAATAACGACCAAGCTCTTACTTTCAGTTGTCTCCTCACTTTAATTAAAAACATCAAAGTTTTAGTTTCCTAATAACAAGTTAATAAGTTTCAGTTTCTTAATAACAAGTAGCAGAAGTTGAAATACAACAAAAGCACAGCTAGGCTGCATAAAATTTACATCAAAGCTGTGCTTATGTTTTGTGCTAGTTTAAAAATTATAACATCAAAGTTCAAATAAACTTTAGCTGTGAAAAGCATAAAAATATTCACTATAAATCCCCTCTTCTAAATGAACTGTCTGCAGCTTTCAGTAGCCAAATATTTCTGATGATTTCTACTTTAGTTTATCTGAAGCAAAATATATAAAGTATATTTGTAAATATATGTAAAAATTGCTTATAGACATCACATTTTCTCCAGTCTCTCAGTAATAATTCTACTTACTACCAGTTTTAAATAATTTTGCAAAGACAGAATAAGCTCATTTTTTTGTTATAGATTGTCTTCTTTTCAGTATACTAGAACTAAATAAATAAATAAATAAGGAATTTCAAAATTTATAGCAACACAATCAGGCTCTCTAGACTAAAAACTAAATCACTAATTCAAGATATAGACCTTAGGGAAATAAAAAGTATAGTCATTAAAAATTATTTAAAAAAACATTTTAAATTCTGCCACACTTTGTATAATTTGAAGGGCTGTGGGAAAGAATAATCAAATTTATCTTTTGCACCTTTTAAAACTAAAACCACTTGACAGACTAAAAAGTGTGGAATAAATAATAAAAATGGATTAAAAGGAAAAAATAATCAAAATCCCTTCAAAGATATGCAAAGAAAACTCTGTTCTTGGAAGAAAAATTAACAGTCCATTGCAAGTGCCACAAGAAGCAATTAAACTGAAAATTTTACTGAGAAAACCACACAGGAAAACCTGATGGTTAGTGAAGCTGAGACTGCCATTAAGTTTTGGTTAGAACACTGGGTGTTTGTTATTATAATGTCTTTATGAAAGAAGGACACTTAATATTCTATGCTCTAAAAGTCTTTTTGAGTGGATGGTGGTAAGGGACAGGCCTTGGATTCCATTCATTTTGGTTTTCTCATTGAAAAGAGAGCAGGTTTTCATGCAGATAGTGCTATGTACCATTGGGCTAATGTACAGTCCTGAGAGTATAAAGGATTTATATTAATGTGGAAGTACTAATGAAAAATTAAATACATTGCACACACAGTTCTAAAGGCATAACATAATTATATATCAGAAAGTAAGGCTAATCAGAAAATGAAAAATTAATATTTCCAATAAGAAATCATAGTTAAATACAGTACAAAAAGGATTTTTTTTTTTTTTTTTTTTTTTTTTTTTTTTAAAGAGAGAAAATCTAATATGGTATTTCAGTACAAGCAGGATGTGTTTAGGAAAGAAGATAAAATTTTTGTCCATTTTACTTGCTGCAATGTTTTCCGATTAAAATTTCCAATTTAAAAGAAAAGAACAGGATAGAAAATTAACATGAAATATCCTAATGCTTAGAAGACTTCAGACTTCATGAAAATTAATAAAACCTAATTCTAAATGTATTAAAATGGTGATTAAAAATAGTCCGTTCTTCTCCAGAAAGCTATAACAAACTGCAAGGTCTAAAATAGTCTGTGACAAATACCATATCTATTACAGCAATTTGTTGCAAATGAGTAACTCTCAAGATAATGGACTGACAGTAACATAACTTTCATTTTTGTTCCCACATTTCCATTTTAAACATTTATTGTAGTTTGTATGGCAATCTGCAAAATTTGAATATTAAAACAGCCGATTTTCAATAGAACGATGATCATTCTTGCCCTCAGTCCATCACTTAATAATTGGTAAAGTACTGGTTTGCGTTAGTTGAAAGACAGGATACCCCAATATCCTCTTACCTTTTAGTGAGTGTTTGAAGCCTGAAGAGGAATGGACTAACACAAACGAGCTTTTATTTTCTAATAATGTTTTGTTATCCGTTTTTGATGCTTGTTGAAATATATATTCATAAAACTGATCCTAAAATTAAACAATATATGTATAAAAATTATAACAATAATATATAAATTTAGTAAATCTGTAATTAAATAAAGATATATAAAGACACAATACTAAAACTTTTCAAAAACTATAGAATTTCTATAATCCATACACTTTCAGACCAAAAGTTGTATACATTAGTGAATGTGCAATTATAGGTTACGTCCTTTTGAACTTTTAACATTCCCCCCTTTCTAATTTTACATTACATTCGGACTACTTGCATCCATATAATTAAACCATATTCATAAAGTAAAAATTATTTAATACAAAACCATTTTCATATAATTACATCTATACGTTAATGTTATAAATTAGTTTTTGATATTTTCAGAATATCATTTCTATTACTGCTTTAACACTTAAGACTTGATTCTCTTTCATTATTATACGCCTTTCTTTAGTTCACTCACGGTGTTTCACTATGGTCAGAATTTTGTTATTGATTTTTAACCCCCTTCCTAATAAGCTACAGTTTAAATTTTGTATACACACTTTATCAATGACAATGCTACGTGGTAAAACATTTTTTTAAATTAGTTTTTTTTTGTTTTTTTTTTTTTTTTTTTATTTAGTGTTTAAACGATTTTCTGCCCACATTTTTGTTTACAGAAAATAAAAATATCAATTTAACTGTTCGACCATCGAAAAAGCAGGGAGGTGAGGGAAACATTTTAAATGAAATTTGTATGAACATTTTAATTTAATTTCTGAATTTTGGTGAATTTTCGAAAATGGGTTTATTTATTTTAATTATTTGACATTTATGATTTCAGAATTTCAATATACGAAAATGTATCAGATTTGAAATTTTCACAAATTGTAAAACAAAGCACTTCACCCTCCACATACTAACTGGCCAATTTTCTAAATTTATTTCAAAAGTCTATTGCAATCTCAAGCCATAAGGGGGCTAGAGGAGTTGGTTCTTCCGGCCATCACACTGCCTTGGAGACCTATTACTTTCAAGGTTATGATGACATTACATCACCTGAGTCTTATCACTTCTACACAGATTTTGCATTTACAATCTAAAAAATAATGCAGCTTATCGACTAACCAGCATTTAAAATTATTTACAACGAAATCTACTCTGTTGCTTTTTAATTTTTCCATTTAATAACCTTATTCACATTTTCCTCAGCATTTCAAATTAATTTTTTTTTTTTTATTTTATGGTACACAACATTGTACTTTTTATTAGGACTTAAAAATTCCACCATCTAAAGATGTATTCATTATAAAGATTTGAAACTGTTATATGTTGTAAAACAAACTCTTCCCCATCTTTTACGATATGAATAATAAAATTACTAATTAGATGATTTTTTAGAATTTTAAAAAGCAGTTGCATGTTTATAAACTCACTATACGTGGTGCAGTGATTTTTTTTTCCAAAATTCAATTTATTTATTTATTTATTTTTAAATACCGAATTGATTTTTTGCATGCATATTCACTTCACAGACAAACTAAAATTCTTGGAATTTTAATGTTTGCACCATGAGATAGAGAAAAGAAAAAATCTTTAAATTAAGTTTATATGACAGTTCTAACATAATACCCAATTTTTTGACAAATTGCAAGATTTTAATGACCATTTAATTTAATGGAATTGTTGGAAGTAAAAGAATAATTTTTTATTCTTAAAACAGTTTTTCAACTGAAAAATTTAATTAAAAATTATTTTGATTACAGACACTTAGTCATTGAGACTAAAAGGATGAAAATTAAATTAGGTAAAAAAAGTTTTTATAACATAAGCTTTTATTTAAAACTAATAAAATAACTAATGAATTAAAACAAGAAAAATAATATGTCATACAGTTTTATGGAAGCATGAGATTAAATAATTCTATTTACAAAATTCATCAACAATTTTATATCATGAATAATAAAAAAATGAGCATCCAATTAATCTATTATACAAAATGAATTGTCAAAGGCATAAACTATTCCCTGTAAATTTATCATGAATTCCCACCTTACAATACTCTTAATTATTTGAATATGGATTATCCATATGTGGTGATCTCAACGTAAGCATACTCAACACAATGCGCAGGAATGTGTCAAAAAAAAAAAAAAATTACACGCAAGCGCGAGTATGAGAAATGATTCTTCCTAATATAGAAATTGAAGTTTTATTTAATTATGAAAAAGCTGAAGCTACATGCCAAAAATTGGAAATGTAAAATTCTCCGAAAATGTCCCTCATGAAAACATCAAGAACTGATTTGATGGAAATTCGACTAGGCCAAGGTTTTCAGTGCTTGAGTTATATGGATATCATTTCAAATGCCACAAGAACAGAAAAAAGGCCAAGAGTGGTACTGAAAATACAGGGAAAGAAGATACTAACTATTATATTAGGCTCGAGACAACAATGACTTCTGTTGATAATCTATTGAACTTCATCAATTAAAGGGAATTCAGATAAAATTTTAAACTAGCACTTTGAAAAATATGCAGAAAATTCAACAATGTTTAAAAGTTCTCAAAAACAAAGTAAAATTACCGATTTTTTTTTAAAGAAATGAACACATGTAACATGTATGAAAATTTACAGTTTGGACTATTCCTGGCAATAGCCTGGATAATCAAGAGTAGAGTGTACATTATGATAATAATAGTACTTATAACATCTAACTATACATAAAACAAGAGCTGTGATGGTGCAATTCACATCTGGAATAAAAAAAGTGCACATACAATGTGAAAGCATAACAGAATGAAAGGGTAAAATGATAAGGAAATTTTCTGAAGAACAAATGACCTTTTTTTTTTTGTAAAAGCACAGAGGCATAATTGATATTAACTGCACATCCAACAGCAAAATTTTTTTCAAAATAATCTTTATGATGAAAGGGTAGCATGATAAGGAAATTTACTGAGGAACAAATTATCTCTTTTCCTTTTTTTTGAAGGGGGGTAAAAACACATGGAAATAATTGATATCGGCAAAACTGCACAATAGCAGCAAAACTGTTTTTGAAATAGTTTTTGTGCTCTTGAATTAAAGTAAAAATAAATCAATAAATAAATACGCTGCTTTCAAATACCTCATCAATAAGGTTTTTTTTTCCCCTAATAATATCAAATCCCTACACTGCTACTACCATTATAAAATTAGCAAAGGAACATCCTTTTGTTTGGCATAGATTTAGTCAAGAACTGTATTGATTTTGAGGACAAACAGATACAGGTCTCTCTATATTAGAAGCAAAGAAATCTGACATTTTACTTTGGTATATTGCTCTTATGTTTTGATTATTACTACCATTATATTCCAAATATATGTATTATTATCAATTATAGAAGGTGCTAAAGTTGAAATTTTGGATTTATTAAGACAAACTTTATATTTTATAGCTTTTTCTTTGCCATGTTTTCCATTTCACATAACTGGAAAATGTATACAAATGTTAAGCCTCTGTTCCTATTTACTTTAGGCAAATTATAAACAAACTTTGAAATGATGATATGAATATCTGAAATAATATATGTAAGAGAAATAAAGACTATGTAAAAGATTAAATTATCAATGTAAATTCTCCTTCTCAATTCTAAATATAGTAACCTGTCTGTGCACTACGTCATTTCTAGATTAATCCATGTCATATGACTTACATAATTCTGGTGATGTAAATGGAACTAAGACTCAAGCAGCCAATAGTAATTTTACAGCAATATTAACAATCCAATCATAATGCATTGAAAACCAAAAACAACTCTGTCTGAATAAGATTTCACCCTGAACATAACGCACTTGCTTTCACACTTTGGTCTAGCTGGACTACTGTCTTGCCTGCTGCTTCTTTCTTGCTGCACAGTTATCAAAAATATAAACCTTTTTGGAATAGGCACATTTAATGTGCCAACTTGTTTGTGTCCACATCATATTTGCTGGAGAAGATTTAATAATTAATTTAATCGCCTCCAATTTCCTTTTTAATATGGATCAACACTTCTACGCCATCAAAATTTCTGCTAGTCATTACTTCTAAGTTTGATTTTATCATGTTATATATATAATAAAATACCTATATATATATATATATATATTTACTATTTAAATTCAATATCAGTTTTAGAGCAGAATATACACCCAAAAGTAGATATTTATTTCAAACAAAATTCCAAAATTCATGCAGAAATTCACAATCTATGTGTAATAATGACAAGAAGAGAATATATTTGTTAAATATTCATTTGTACATGAGTATAACAAAATTTACCAATAAATTTTCCGCAATACTTAATTTTATGAGAATCAAAGTTTTGTTTGTTTACATACAAAAATAAAAATGCATATGGATCACAGTAGTGAAAACACATACGCTAATTTTCAACTCATCTATTTCTGACTTAACATAAAAATATCAAACATACCTTTACGAAACCAGGGCTGGCAATTAGAACACATTTTACAACTGAAATAGAGAAAACATACATGATTATACCTAAGCATATACATGTGGTAAAACATACATATACATAAGAATTTCAAGAGCAGGAAGGCGAATGCAGATTAAATCTTCATTTTTATTTTCGGCAACATGTTGCAGCAACAATCAAGTTGGCACATTAATAATGCCTATTCCAAGAGATTTTACATTTTAGATAAATTTGCAGTAAGAAAGAAAGAGTGGACAGACTGCAGCACATTTGAAATCATTACATATACATGTGGTAAACTGCAAATTAAAACAGTAAAAATTATGAATAAATCTTATGCTCACTGTCAAAATTCACATGTCTTATAAGTGCTTGATACACTGCTTCAAAAAACTTTTCCAAGCCCTAGAAACATTAGAATACACATCAAAATAAATCATATTTAAATAAATAAGTAACAAAACAAAATAAAACTTTTTTTAACTATAATACTCATTATATTAATATTCTAATAAAATACATTCCCTGCTGTATAAAACACATGTTCAAAAATTTTAATCTACAAAAATTTTAATCTATCATTTTGATTATGCTATTAAAATCTATTTAAAGTGATCTAGTAATTCCCAAAATTTTCCAATGATGACCAACTTAACTGAGCATTCATTATACGCTGTAGGATTCAAAAGTTCCCGGACTGAGCCTATAACATAAAAATTTTTTGCAGTAACTACGACAGTAGTTTTGCAGTAGTGCAACTACGAGAACATTTTAAAAGTGGTTTGTCTCAAATCACATGGTTAAAAGCTCGTGGTGACAGCATTTCTTGTAGGCAGGTGCATTTAGTAATTGATGAAGATTACTAAATGTACCTGCCTACAAAGAAAGAAATGGCATCAGTTCAGCAGAGAATCAATATCAAATTTTGTGTTCACTTGGAAAAGAGTGCTACGGAGACTTTCGAAATGTTGAAGCATGTGTGCGAAAGTGAAACATTACCAAGAATGCAAGTTTTTAGTTGCATCGTCATTTCAGAGAAGGCAAAAAAAGTGCCGAAGATGATGAACGCTGTGGCCATCCCCTGACTTCATGCACCGACGAAAACATCAAAAAGGTGTTTAAGGAAGTACGTGCAAACAGGCAGCAAAAAATTTGCCAAATAGCAGAATCAGTTGGGATATCAGAGACCACATGTCAGATATTGATAAATGTGTGCATCTGGACTTTATCCCTGAAAGACATACTGTGAACAAAGAACTCTACGTCAAAATCTTGCGTCATTTGCATGAGTCAATCCAGAAGCAGAGATAAAAAAATGTGGGCTGAGCAGCCATGGGTGCTGTTGCATGACAACGATCCTGCTCACCCATTCCCACTCGTCAACGACTTTCTTGCGAAACAAAAACAACTATTTTGCCTCATCCTAACTCACCTCATCTCGCACCCTGCGATTTCTTCCTATTTCCTGAACTGGCAAGACGCTTGCAGTGTTGTCGATTTAAATCTTCAGATGAAGTTACACGTGCATCGCAGGCTAAAAGGACATTGCCAAAAGTGGATTCCAGACATGCTTACATAAACTTTACAGGTACTGGCAAAAGTCTGTTTTTGCACAGGGGTCTTATTTTGAACGAGGATGTGTTTCTGCAATTTAATTCATATTTTTTAAGTTATAAACTCAGTCTGGAAACTTTTGAATCCTACTCGCATTTGTATCAAAGTTCAAATCATTATTTTAACACTGATCTATTAATGGTGTTTTTATTTGGCATGCTCTGCTCAATTTATCAATATCTGATGAAATTCCAGTTTTCCATAACTTATTCTTTTATTTATTTATTTATTTATTTATTATTTTCTTGGGGCAAAGTGAGGGATGCATAAATGAGTCAAGAACTGCAAATCTGACATACAGTACACGTAACTGAAGTTATCATGCATACATAGCTCATGCTCACTATATACTGGAGCATTATGTTGCACTGATCTGATTTCATAATTTTACCAATTAATATGATTACATTTATCTGTATTATTCAAAACCAATAAGATAAACATCCTATGTTGCTAGAGATTCAATTAAAAAATATACTTTTAATTTATAAGTATTTAATTTTTGTTTGTTTATTTTTCTGCGTTATAATTTAGTCTCTCTAGATCAGGGATAGGCAAACTCTTTCAGTCTTAAAATCATAAAAAAGAAAGTTTGGCGCACCAAGATAAATTTTTCTAAAATTTTTTAAATAATATACTAGTATTAGAATTGAAATATGTTAATGAGATGAATGAAATTGCAACTTTATTTTTAAAAGTTCCTTATATTGAGGTTCGAAGTGAAATGTACTGATTCTAAGGAACGAGGCTAAATGCTCATCTGTCAGTCTACTTCTGAAATAATTCTTTCTAAGGCTCATAATTGTTCACATGATGCAAATATAGCACTGATTTTCTGGGCATGAGATATTAAATTTGGGAAACTTACTTTCGATAATGATTAGTGAAACTCTAACTTTGGCATATTTAGAAACAACTGTTTGAGATGATTGTTGTTAGATTGCAACTCAATTAATTCAAGCCGCAAATCTGACCTCACTGCTTCACAATTTATGTTGAAAAGCATGGTAAAAATAACCAATTCTGTTTGAATGACACTGAAATCTTGAATTCAAGCTAAAAATGCAGTTTTTTCAAGCCATCTTCATAATTCTTACGCTTCTCTTCATTTACTGAAGGTATTGAATTTAACCTCGGGAAATAAGACAAGTCGTTCTTAGCTAGCTGCTCAGCAAACAGATTTAAGTTTTAGTTTAAAAGCTTTGAGATGGGCGAGGATATCGTCAATAAATTGATCTGTTCGATTGCATCTTGACATTGAAGTCGCTCATATGACAAAGAATGTCCGAAAGCTACTATGTATCTTCTCACATTTCACACTCCGCAGAACACTTTTTCTCATGGGAAGAACGACACAATGTCCTCTTTCAGTTGCTTCTTTGAAGACTGCTACAGCTTCACTGCAGATGAAACACACTGGTTTATCTTTTACAATTGTAAAAAAAAAAAATATTTCCAGGTCCATTCATCGTTTAATGCACGGCACTCTGAATCAACTTTACGTTTTTTAGTAGCCATTTTGGTGTTGAAATATTTTACGAATAACCCCAACAAGCACTAGCTATGCTATACTTTTAATAATTACACCACTATTCACAATGATGCGATATGTCCACAATCTTTCCATACGCAATCAACAATATTAAAACTCGCACCAAAGGAAAAAGCCACTGGCTGGAGCTTAAAATGCACGGTCTGCCACATACAAGTTCTAATTCACCTATATTGGATTCCTATATGTCTGTTCCCCGAGAAAGAGATAACGCTTGCTGGCGACAATCTACAGCTATAACTAATAAAGGACGTCCACGTTTAACACTTTCCTGATTGAAAGCTGTCTGTGCTTGCGTTTTCCGTCGATTTATGTTTCGTAGAACAAAAATAGAGAAAGTAAAAAGATCATCAGTCCATTGAAAAAATAATGTTTGAACAAAGTAGAAAAGGAGATGGATATATAATATATAAATATATATTTCTTTTAATTTGCCTTGGAACGGCAAATTAAAATTCTATCTGCGGGTAGTTTGCCCATCCCTGCTCTAGATTATGAGTCTTATATATTTGTCCCTAGTGACATAGCACTGTATTAACATTGACAACATGAGTTACGAAAAGTGATAAAAAAAATTAAGACATGCAATATTAGATACAAATTTTTAATGTTATATATGTATCTGAGAGTAGAATTTAATTAAAAAATTTCTGCATTACATAATAATACAAAAAGTTCTATAAAATTCTATAGGTAACATTTTAGATTAAAATGTTTAGTAAAATATAAATAAGAGGAAAATGAAATGCAAATGCCTTTGCATGGTGAAAAGATAAAGCATTATGATAAAGGTAGAATTTTAGGGAACAGTTAGAATCATAGTCCTACCTATATATAAAATGTAAATAAAACTCCAAATGAAACAACTTAATTAATCTATTGACTCATGCGCACGTGCACTGTGTCCTAATTGAACAAACCTTTCTCAAAGCACCCTTATTTCACCAAAGTTGTTGAGGTCTGGTACAGTTTTCGAATTTTTCACCAGGGCTTTGATTTGAAGTCTTATTTTTGATTGAATCGGATCTTTTAGACCCAGCATACTTATTTATGTTGCTGCTACATAGTTGATTTGTGAGAGGATAGAAAGTGGCAAACATGTCCCATAGTTTACTGCACAAAGAAGTTACAAAAATTACAAGATGTATCAAATGGAGAAGATTCTACTAAAAGAAAATGGGATGGAAGTGATCCTAAGTTTTTAGTTTGCATGAGACAGATTCAGAAACTACAGATTCTGAAAACAAAAATGATAATGACATACGTTGCTTTATTCAAAAGAGAAAAAAAATATTGGAAACAAGAGAAAAAAATGATTCAGCGTTTGCCCAGTCAAAAAGCATTTAAAAATGAAAACATGCTGCACTGAATGTGAAAAATATTTGTGTTTGGAACACACAGCAATATTTTGTTCAATGTACCACTAACATTTGTTATTGCATTGTTTCCTTGTGCCTATAGTGCTAATAAAGGTAATATCAGTACAGTGTAAAGGTAGTACCAATACAAAGTTAAAAGGTATGCTATATTTTTTCCATATGCTAATCGAAAATATGTTTTTCTATGCCTTTATGAAATTTTATTTCATAAAAACATTTGGAGAAAGAATTTTTAATGTGCATACTTTTTTATGTTTGATCATAAGATTTATGACTCTCATATATACAATACTTTTTCAGAACATTTATAATTTTTTCCTCAGAAAAGATGAGCTGGATCATTTGGATGCAGTGCATGCACTCATGTAACTCAAATGAGCATGCATGTCTACACTTCCCATCTCATTGCTATACAAATATTGCACACAGAACTCACTGAAATGAATATGCAAGACAGAATTCAATGTTCAGCTTACAAAAAATTACTTAGGCTGGACTAAAAATGACAAAGCCCAATTTACTGATCAAGGGAACATTGTCATATAATCTGACAAATCTTAATTTTGCATATACTGAACAAAATGATAGATGCCACATCAGCAAGTCTAAAGAAGCATCAATTTTAAAATATTCATAGAGTGCTGAAATGCAATTGGCTCCTATTCATTTGGTGTATTATGAATAGCTGTAAATTATGTAAAACAGATTAATTGTACAGTTACACAGAAATTTTAAATTACAAGATGTATCAAATGCTCTATACATATTGCTAGATATACATATTGCTCTTCCACAATGCTCGCAGAATTCAAAAACATATTTTTCATTTATCAGGATAACAGCATCAGAATTAACAGAACTGAAAATATTAGACAGTGTGATGAACATGATGCACTTCTGACACACATGAAAGATAAATCATCTATCAAAATAGGTCATTTTTATTTAACTTGATACAAATTCATGTTACTAGAAATAAGAGAAATCATTCCCACTAGAGTTAAAAAATAGCCAGCTCATTTCACACTTTCTTATACAACAATTAAAATGACAAGAAAAATTTTTAAATAATATCATGAAAACTTACCTTTTCGTGCTGTGCACACATTCCCTTTCTTTTGCGTGGGATATTAACATCAATTTTGGCACGTACCAATGTCATACTAGAAGTTACTAGGCAGACATGAGCAAGACCTTCTTGCATTACAATAGCTGCAAGATCAGCATGTTGTGCAGGATCACAAGCCATATCTAAATGTAAAAGAATACTCTTATAAGACAAACATTCAAAAAGCAGCTGAAACCTATACATAAGAATTTAACAACTCTATTCATTTCAAAATAAAAATTTAAATCAAAGTGAATGAAATGAAAATGAAGATAATAATATCCTGACAGAGAATCTGTTAATTTATGGTAAAACCTACAGATTTCAATTAACAGTTTTCGAAACCCCAAAAATATGGCCTTTTGCAGATTTAGCAAACAGGCATAAATTACACAGAAATCACATTTTGGATAAAAGATTTGTTTAAGAAGATCGAACTATTTTAAATCCTGATACTATTGAGGTCGTTTTAAACAAAGAATCATTTAAAATTAAATTATGTTACAAATTTTAACCAAATACGTCTAAACTTAACTAAACATCTAGAGACATAAGTACAGACTCAGATCCAACAACTACAGTATTTTTAAATTAATCCATAAAGCATTATGAGAAGTACCTCAAGATTCTTGTACTTGCATTGATGCATTTTGCTATCAATTTCATACTTGATAGCAAAATGCATAATTAAAAAAAAAACTTGTGTTAGTAAGGCCATATATTAAAAATTGTTTTTAAGTCTTGCTTTTCACATAACTAGGCTTGTTCACATATTTCAACCAAACTGCACTTTGTTATCTTACAGTAGTTCTTTCAGTTTGATCTATTTGAGGACAAAACTTTAAAGTCAGATTTCTCTTTAAACACCACAGAATTTAGCAAAAATCTTCGCTAAATGGAGGTTATGGTAAATGGCGGTTTTACTGGAATTTTAAAAAATACTGTAACATTTTCTATTCTTAACTTTATTAACATAAATGATAGTAATGAAGTAAATTCTGATATAGAAAATGCATTCTCTTCACCAAACTACATTCTACTTAAATAAGAATTTTTCTTTACTCAATTGTTAAATTAGGAAAATAAAAAAAATTCTAATTGCTAAGCTAGAAACAGTAGATTTAACAATAAAGATACAATTTCAAATTCTTTGCAATGGTAGAAATACTTATTACAAACAAAATTACAATATAAATATTAAATATTGCATAATTCAAATAACTTATTACAATGGTAATAGAATACCATTATTTTAAAGAAATGGTAATTTGTTGCAGAAAAATTACCTATTCTTTCTAAAGCTATACTGTCCCAACAATCTTTTGAAAGAGTGAATTTCCTATTAAGTTCAAGATCTAATGTGTGATATGCTCCCATCTGGAAGGAAAAAAAAAAAAAAAAAATGAAGACACTTTACAGAGTAGAATGAAAATAACATGTTACCAGCGTGTTATATGAAAGAGTCAAAAGTTAAACAAAACTAATGTGATACAATACACACCTTTACATACATATTTTCTTGAATATTTCTTCCTTTCACACGTAGCATGCATGCCTGTGTATCAAAATCTATATCTTCTACTTTAATAGTCAAGGTTGTGCGAACTCTGTTACTGCCTGTACTACCTGTAGCAGATTCTGTAGTTACTTTTCTAAAGAAAAGGAAGAAAACATAATTTTAAAGTAGGATATTCATTAAAACAGCACCTCGGACAATTAGAATAATACTTTTAAATACTATTTTTAAATTATTGAAGTAATAAACAGTAACCACATTCAACGCAGTACACCCATAAAAGAATGTCCCAATTATAAATTTTAGTAGTATCAACTGTAAATGCTGCAGTGTTGGTTCGAGGTCAAAAAGAGTACTTCAAACAGTTTTAGATACACATATGCACGAGTACTGTTTCGTTGTTTTCTTGCTTGCAGTGCCACACATACACAAAATGGCGACTCCTGAGCGTAAAGTGCTTTGTGTTCTGCAATTTGCTAAGAGTGAATCTGTAATTTTAGTTCAATGTGTGTTTTGTTTAAAATTTAATTGTGTTCCTTCATGTGGTAAAAATATCCAGCGATCCTATAGCCAAGTCTGAAAGACCAGATGTGACCAAATATTTGTAATGAGAAAAGCGAGGGATGACCAAAAGTGTCTGTACAAGATGTGGACAGTGTCAAAGCATCTTACCTTCACAGTCCAAAGAAATCTGTTGGAAAATCAATTCTTGAACAGCAGTTGCCAAGGCAGACAGTTTGAAAAGTTTTAAAAAAACATTTACACATGCATCCATACTGATTACAGTTGACACATGCTTTAAAGTCAGATGACTAAGGCGTATGTTTTAACTTTGCAAGCGGCATGTTTGAGTGGAAATATGACTGTCTTGATCATGTGGTGTTCAGTGACGAGTCAACCCTTTACCTGAATGAGAAGGTAAATAAATACTCATAATGTTCATATCTATGGCTAAGAACATCTTCATGAACCAAAAGAATACCAAAAGAGATTCCCCAAAATTAAATGTTTTCTGTGCTGTGTCTCCACCTCAAGTGTACAGACCATTTTGTTTTGTTGAAACTACCGTTAGAAGGTTGACTTACCTGAATATGTTACAAGAACGTCTCTTTCCACAATTAGTAGGTGGTGAACCTGTAAACTTTATTTGACAACAAGATGGAGCCACTTCCTATTGGAATCTCTCTGTAGGGAGTGGTTAAATGTCAAAGTCTCTGACCACTGGATTATTCATAATGCTAGAGATGACAGAGCTCTTTTTTGCTGGCCTACATGTTCACCTGACTTAAAGCCATGCAAACTTTCTCTTTGGGGTTTTATAAGAGATTGTGTCTGCATTCTGTCACTACCTAATGTTTCACCAGAATTGAGATGCAGAAGTAAAGAGGCTATTGCTTTCATTTTGCTATTTGCTTTCTGGACCTGTTAACAAAGTGTAGGCAGAATTGGAGACTATACTGGTTGGATTATGTGCCGTATAACTAAAAGTGCACATACTGAAAATTTGTAAGAAAAATTAGATTAGTTTACCTTCAATTTAACATTTGAGTCATTGTAAATAGTTTAAATTAAACTGTTAAAATATACTATTGAAACTGGGACATTCTTTTATGGACACCGTGTAATTGCTTGCGATTTTCCAATTTCGTTTTAGTGAAATAGAAAATGCTCTCTGAAGTGACTGCAACTCAAATGAATCTTAACTTCACCAGGTCAGTTATGATTCTGCAGAATACAGGTCAGCTATAGGTAATTCACTGCAGATTGCTGGGGTTTGGGTGGGTGCAAGAGCACACAGAAGTTTTTCAGCAATTACTGACCAAAAAGTCACTTGTCAGTCTCTAAATCTGTGGAGTTTCTTGTTGGTTACAGAAATACAGCGGACAACCATATGATCGCATGATGGCTAGGATGGTTGACTACAAGAGTAACATCAGTAAAGTTCAAGCAAACTAAACAAAAAACAGCCATAGCTGCAACTACTTGAGAGGAGCACTTCAAAGAGGTGAAGATTAGTTTAGCTGCAAAATAACAGTCAAAAATCTCCTGTCTTAAGTGAGCACCCGATTTTTAAAGGGTTAAAATTGTTACATTCCTTGTAGTGCAGCAAAAGGAGTAGAAGATTTAAATCCAATATCAGTAACTAATTTACACAAAAATTTTCTATTTTTCTCCTGCAAAGTTCAGTATTTTCTATTTTTATGCTAAGCTTAGAGCAATTCTTTCCTGTCAAAGTACTTCTCAGTATATGTGGGAGGAGTTTGCATTCACACTTACACTGTCTTCGTAATGAATGGTTTAATGTGTGTTGAAAAATGACTCTGAAATTCAGACCACAATCAATAAAAATTACTTTTAAGTTCACATAACTATTCACCAGATTGACTTAGATTAAAAGTTTCCAGTTCACCAGAAGAGTGAAATTTTTATGTACATTAAGTATAAATTTTAAATTAACTTTTTGTACTTTTTATTTTGAATAATGCTCAAATCTTACTTAACACACTTGTCTCTTTCAATGGAAGGTGCTAAAGTTTATGAACCACGCATCTGCTTTTAAGATTAAAGGGATTATTGATGTAAAATATAAGAAACTAAGTAATTTACATGATTTAAAACTTTAATTCTATTATATAATTAACTCAGCAAGTTGGCTCTTAAAATAATTTAGAGAACAAGCTTTAATTAATTAATCAAACAGTACTGTTGCATGTGCAGCCTTAATTACTACACAGCAAGTCCTGCCCTGAATAATAAGAAAATTTTTTAGAAAAGACTTGTATCTTAAATGGAGGGAAAAGGAGAGATTACTTCCTGATCATCTGCATCACCCCAAAGAACAAACAAGAGTTAATATGCTACGCTCCAAAACGGATTTATGTAGCAACTCAAGTATACACACAAATACAGCAGACAACTGCCAGTCATTATTTTTATTGCCTTGTTGTATTGAATACTTTTTTCTTCCTGGTAAGGAAGTGTAATGGGACTATGGAGTTTGTCAGCTGATAAGAAAGAAAGTGTTGCATTCTTCAGAAAAATGGCATTTTGCATAACAGTATAGAATGAAAAATTCCCATGTTGTGTACTTTGTAAACTATTTAATTTTATTATTTTGTACACTGATGATGAATTTGTACAATTCTCTGACACTTCAAGAGAAAACAAATCACTGTGCCCACACGGAAAAAATGTGTGCAATACTAAATTTATGCAATTCTCAAATTTAAAAAAAAAAATTAAAACAGATTGCTGTGTACATAGGAAGAACAGCCCCAGGAAGGATGGGAGAAAGGAGGTAAATATTCCATTACTAATGTTTCTTAACATTTTCCATTTGTTCACTGGTTTCTGTTTTATGCAAGTTTTAGCACATTGCCCTTTTTGAAAATATAAGCTCAGCAAAAACTTAATTGCCAAAGTTTGGCTACTTTTCAAGAGATGATATGGATAGTCAGAAATAACCAAAAAATTATACGTATATATTGAAATAAGGTATTGCCATTTTGGGGTAATAATATTATTATAAATGAGTTGACCAGTAAAGGATAAACACTACAGATGGTTATTAATTCAGTTACAAGGTCAATTGTCAGTCTCAAAAGTAAAGTAGCACAAATACCTCATGAATTATTTTAAAAGAATTTAGAACTTTGTCTATACCTCGGCCCTTGTACCTGTTAAGACACTCTTTTGGGGGCTCTTTGTTCACTCTAGAGTTCAGAGTGGCAGAATTGCTCCTAACTTACAAAAACAAAGGCACTATAAATGAGTTAATGTTACCAACTAGAGTAGGAAGATTCATTCCAGAACTGATTCATCAAGAGTTCTTGGAAGTGCAACAGAAACAGACATACGCTATTCGTTCACAAAATGATTCACTTTATTGAGTAAGTTAATGCCTTACTTGCGTAAAAAAGACTGGAAGTTCTTTTAGTTCACACACAGGGAGTTCTTGTTGAAAGGGTTCCACGAAAATTAAGACTTCAATTTTAAGGGAAGAGAGAATGTTTATTCTCTCATATTAAAAATGAGTTTAATTTTATCATTCTCCAAATTTATTTGAAACTGAATAAATGATTGGAAGAAGCACTCTTTTAATTAGTTATGTGCTTAACTTGCAACATGTTGAAAATGCCTAACCAAAAAGACTTAGCCTGTGAGAAAAGGGTAAATTGTTGAACAATCTTCATGTTTTTGATAAGTGGAGCATGCAAGGAAAAAAACTGATGACATGCCAGTATCAATCGAATCTGGAAAAGCACTGCAAATTCTAAGGAAAACTCTTGAATTGAAACGTGCTAATCAGACAAGGTACCAAGAGTTTTGTAAATATAATTATGAATATGATTAACAAACTCTTGATAAATAGTAGCATGAAGCAAACATGGATAGAACTACTGTTTTTTAAAAGTTAAAAGATTGCAGCAAGTATGTAATTATAAAAATATTTTTTATAAAAAATGAATTCCAGAAATGCATAAATAATTAAATTTTAGCATTAGTTTTAGATTTAATTATTGGAATTAACTATTAGTTATTTATGGTATTTACATATTATGAAAGTTGGCTACGATCAAACCATAAAAGCTGGAGCAGATCCTGGCAAAGTTGAGCCAATCTGTCCTGTGGAATTCTGAAGGAACTGAAGCCTCTTTTTTTGATAAACAATCAGTATCCAGCCCATTTAATTTTGACACCATGTAATAAGTTTTTTCTCGATTTCTACAGTTTTGATTGGCCTTTCGATTTCATGGAAGTTTCATTTTCATGGAAGTTCATCTGTGAATACAAAATTCCCACAGAATGTTGACAATATCCAGCTAACCTTATTGTGTCCATTAGTATACACTTCTTTGATGGTCAGATTCTATAACTTTGAAAATAATCCACTGCTTGCTGTTCTATAGAAGACAAATCCCAAATTTTAATAATTTTTTTAAATCAACCCAAATTTTGTGGTTGTATAGGCCTCAAACTTCTTTTTTTCAAAATGCAAGAATAAAGTACAACAATTACAGTTAATTTGCATCCTTATTCATAAAAACAAAACATGGTTTATTGAGAATAAATCAAAGTTACATTAAGCAAAAGCGAGATGGTATGAGTATGTTATGCTTATTCATAATTGGTACT